CTCTCTGTCTTTGTGCATTCCATCGGGCCTGACTCGATCGCCGTTTGTGTCTGCGTTACAGGAGGGCGGTAGACATAAATCCGCGAGATTATCGAGCCTGGTATGGACTGGGACAAACCTACGAGATTCTCGGAATGCCTTATTATGCTTTGTATTATTACCGTCGTGCGACTCAACTCCGACCACACGATCCACGGATGTGGTGTGCCATGGGTCAGTGCTATGAGAATGAGCAGCTTTTGATGCATGATGCGGCCATTCGCTGCTACAAGAGAGCTGTTAGCAATAACGACCGTGAAGGCATTGCTCTTTTGAAGTTGGCCAAGCTTCACGAACAGCTTAAGCAGGCAGACGCTGCTGCACATTACTACAGAAAGTGGATGGTAAGCGTGGGGGCGGTTATTCGTCCGTTTTGTTTGTTTGTTTGTTTGTTTTTCCTTTTTTTTGGTTATTTCAAATTATTTGTCTGTTGCTGATTCTTTTCCAGTTGTGTTTGTAACGAGGAACAGCGGGATAGCTTTTCTCACGGTGGGTCCTGTTACACTATTCACGGAACGAGAAAAACGGCGAGTGCATCTTCACACAGAAGGTGGCAAAATTCATCCGTTATCGTTTGTAGTCGTAGCGGATGTTTCTTCCCAACTTCCTTGTGAAGATCCATTTGTTTCATGAGTAACCCTGGTGAGGCCCCATGTTTTTGCCTTTGTACTCCACCCCATCCCTTCAGAAGAGTTCTGTGACTGGCAAATGCTTTATCCAGGCAAGTAGTGCAGCAGACGTTGAGGGCCAGCCTCGCCGCACCACTCACCAAGTGTGAAAAGAACAAAAGCTGTGGGGTGTGTATCTTTCCACGTTTTTTCGAAAGGATGCAGTCTCCATTTTGCAAATTTGGTGAGCGGTGCGGTGAGACCCTAAGAGCGTGTTCGTTGGTCAGTCTTATTCTGTAGTTGTGGATCTGTTCCTTGTTTGACTAAGGATGAATACGATGAATACTACCAACCAACCAAAAAAAAAATGAACGAAGGAACCAAAGAATGAATATATGACTGAATTTATGAATGAATGAATGAATGAAGAAACGATCGAAGGTCGATGACATTGCAAGTTTACGTGTTAGTACTGAATGCGTGGTCGGGTTCTGTTTTCTGTCATTTTTTTTTTTTGTGAGGGGGGCAAACACTCCCCTCTTCAGAGCCAAGGAGACAAAACAACCGCTGCGCTGGGTCTATTTAGTGTCTTGGACCTGGTCTATTTATTGTTTTCAAAGGTGGAATAAGCAGGTTTGTTACGGAGGGTCATTTTCGCTGCATCTGGACTGAAAGGTGAGCCAAATACGGCTATAATGACCGTAGGTTCTATTCGGGGGAAGACGGTAGGGTACGTTTGTTGTCCTGTTTCCTTTCAAGGAGGAGCGTCTGATAAATGTAGCCTTCAGCTGCATGAAAGATCGTCTTGGGCACGCGGCGGAGGTTAAGTTTTGTCGTTGGGATTCTGATCGTTTTATTGTTCTGTTCCATGGTTCAAACCCTTTCATGGTTGTTAGCGTCCTTATATGTTTATTTCAAAGAGCAGCCTTTGTGACAGGGGAGGGCCCATCCCCAACTTCATGCTGTGCCAGACTTGACGCTTAGATCGTGTGAACGACCTATGCTTAGCTCAAAGAAGAGCCTTTTGAAAGGGGAGGGGCAAGCCCCAACTTCATGTTGTGCCGGAATCGACCATCAAATCGTGTGAATGGCCTGGACATCGGACTCGTTAGGTTTGTTGTTGGACTCGTTCGTTGTACGCAATATCTTCTTGGCTGGCTAGAGCCTTCTGAGAAGTGTAGCCCTTTTGCTGCAAGGCATATCTTCTTGGCCGGGTGATGGAACTTCAGTTTTCTTGCTGTGATTCTGATGGTTTTGTTCCCGTGATCCATGGCTGGCTCAACCTTGTAATGGCTTTTAACAAACTTTTTGTTGTTCTTCTCAGTCTTCTTTGCATATTTCAAAGAGGAGTCAGTCTTTTACATGGGAGGTGCAATCTCCAACTTCACTCTGCGGTGCTACGATCAGCGATCAAATTGTGTAAATCCAAGCATGGGCATTCCAGTTGTTAGCTTTTTGCATGTTCTTGCAGTGTGAAAAAGGTGTACGATAATTGACCCGGGCACTGTGTTTTTTTGGGCGATTGTAATCGCTGCTTGTGGTGTGCAGGACCAGACAGAGGGGCAAGACATCTCGGAGGCGCTGCTTTATCTAGCCAACTACTGCAAGACGAAACGGCTTTATGAGGAGGCAACACAATACGCGACCAGGCTTCTTGATTATGGGGGTCCTGTGAGTACCCAAGCACAGTCTCTACTCCTGCCATTTTGAACGCGATTGCCTGTTGTCTTGTTTCCGATACTTTGGAAGTTTGGAGGGGTTGGGTTGGGTGGGGGGGGGGAAGAGGAGGGAGGGGTTTGGGGTGGTTATGGAAGCAGGAGGTAAGCGGGACATGGAAATCTTGGGAAATGGAATTGCCGTTGCTGTTGGATGTCTGGAGTGATAATGAGTATATCAGCATGATATGCCAGCAGTGGAGAACCTAGGGGAAAGGTATTGCAGTCACTGTTCGATGTTTGCAATGATGATGATGATGATGAGAGTGTGATATGCCAGCCATCATACATCAGTGCACCTCTCAATCGAAGGGAGTAGCGCAAGACCATGGGCCTCACTTCACTGTTCAACATTATAAATGTGTCCGGAGCTGCTAATGGTCCCAATACATTCAAATGTTTGATCAGTCCAACTGTATCTGGCCCACAATAAAGCCCAGATGCATATCGGATGTTGAGTAATGGAGCAAGGCCCTTTGAGCAGTCTTTCTGTCTTCTGACTGGATTGACAGGCTCACAAATATTGAGATTACAGAACATTATCTTGATATTATCTTTCGAGGGGGAAAGGGTTGGAGGCTAGAGGAGTGCGGAAGAAGGGCCTCGCCGCACCACTCACTGAATTCGCAAAAGCATGAATGTTCTGCTAAAACATGGAGAGAGGCATGACCATAACTTTTGTCTTTTGTGCATTTGGTGAGTGGTGCCGCTACTTCTCATTTTTGTTTTATATCATATCATAGACTGATAGGGCCTAAGGCGGCACGCCTGTCAGTCAGGGCGACTCAAATGAAATGAATACTATCGACTGAGGCGAAGTGGCGCAGTGAGGCCCCAATAGAGCACCAGGACGAGGGAACTTAGAAAACCTAGGGGAATGGAATGCCAGTTGTAGAAATGCTGGTGTAGTTTTCCCGTGTAATCTTATATGCCAGACCTTGCAGTGCAGTGCACCCTTTATAAAAGAGGGAGGTGGAGTGGATCGGAAGAGAAGACGTGGACATGACCCTGAGGGATCTGCCTGTTGTTGCATAAGACTGTCGGACTCCAAACATCAAGGTAGCAGGTGGAGAGATCTTGAGATGGACTTGCAGAGCAAAAGCGTCTTGGCGCACTTGATGTGGAAGTGGGCCCCAATTCTTTCTAGAAAGGGTTACCCTCTCACCTTATTGTATCCATCCATCCATCTGATTGCTGCCAGAATTTGAACGCATGACCTGTTTACCGACAGTTACACGTGTGTTGCATTCACCCACAATAGGCCCAGGTCAGATTCCGATCTTTCTTTCTTTCTTTCTTTCTTTCTTTTTTTTTTTTTTTTAAAGGGCTATGGCCTTGAGATATCATCATTTGAATTGACCGGCCCTACGTTATTCAGAGTTGCAGTGTTTTACTCATCTGCTTCCAGGGGAGTTCGAACTCAGGTCTGTATTTCAACAGTTCAGTCGTGTACCAACTGAGCCACCAGTAGGCCAGTTGGCGGATTCCGATCTTTCTAACTAGCCTACCGGTAGCTCAAACCAACCAAAGTGCACAGAACTAATGCCAATACTGCAACTCAAAATATTATCAAACTTTCAAGTTTCAATCTCGATCGGAAAATCAATCTGACGTGTGGTCCCCCCTGCGAAGGATGGCCAATCTAAAACTAGAGTAGCGGGGTACTGATATACCAATATCACCTGCTCTGCAAAGTACTGACACCAGTTATTACTGGTATGACCATCCGACAACACCTGCGCGGTAAAGTACCCTCTGGCTTCCTTGCAAGGGACACCCCACCCTTCCATGTATAAAATCTGTTGTCTTTTTTCTGTTCTTTTGTTTTTTAATCTGTTGTCTAGCAATGTCTACTCTATCAGCATGCTAGGTTCCATCACGTGCAGGCATGCGCTATGTGCCCAGTGTGGTCCTGTCGGAATCAGGGTTGGTATATGGGCCAATTATAGGGTAGGATTTAGAGTCTTTTAGACCATCGGAGTGAGCTGTACTCATGTATGACACCCTGACATGGCATGTCCTATTTGTAGGCAGGGGCTGGAACGGCAATGCCCATACGATTGTCGTCGGCGTGCCTCTGTGTTTCTAGCATGTAGGAGCCACGTAGCCTGTGCCATCCGATGCAGCAACTGCAACTGCGAGAATTGGATGCGTTACTTCCACAGTCCACACCCAAACCGGTCCTTTTTGGTCTGTGTTGGTGGTCACTTACCATAGGCAATGGCTGCTCCTCCATGCAAATTTCCCTCCAATCCAAACATTGACTGGCCTCTTGTGCCATTCTATAGTAGTCTGCTCCAGCAGTGAGTCCTGAGAACTCTCTGAAGTCCGTCTTTCCTCCGTTCTATTCCATGTACCTCCACTTCCCTCCTCATCACCTTCTTGCTCCCCCCTCCCTCCCTTCCTGTAGAACTCCACCCCCTACCCCTTTCCTTCCTCCCTCTGCTTGTGTAGTACGACTAAGTGCATACGAATGAGCATCATTAAGAGAACAAACGAAATATAAGCTGAAGATCTGAGGAAAAATAAACAGGAGTATACCTCCCCCTTTACTCTGCCTCCTTTCGTAGCGTGCAAGTGGGCCATTATGGCACACGGGGATGTGGGCGGCTTGCGCTCAACCACAATCAACGTGGCAAGCCTTGTGCGCTAGAGGCACGTGCAAATGGGAACTGCAAGAGGAAATTAAAGGGGTACTCCAACGGCAACCGAAGTAAAGATAGTGAAGAAAGGATTGTACAAGGAAAAAGGCAACATAATCTTTTCATTTTGTTTCATGTCGACTGCTACAGAGGTAAAGCTGTTTCAATTTTGACTCTGCTCACCCTAGTGTGCTTCATGTTGTTTTGCTGTAGAGGTGAAGCTGTTTCAATTTTGGATCTGCTTATCTGGGTGGAAAAGGGGTTGTTGTGGTGACAGTCTACGACACACACACAAAACTCAGGAGTATCGCTAACTCTGGGCGACGTGGTGACTCATCCTGAGCAGACTGTCCGTTGTGGTTCAACCTCCTGATGAGTCTATGAAAGTCCGAGGAAACAGTCTGGCACAGATGCAGCAGGCTGAGGTAGAGAATAAAATTTCACTGGGCAAGCAGTTGGAGACCACATCTTGCAAGAGCTAAACACCCTTGACTTGGATCAGGCCTCGACATCACCTTTCCATAAAGAGACGGTGCTGGTTGTCGAACCCCAAGAAACTTCTCAATGCTGCACTGTAATGGGACATCTGAAATTCGGCTGGCATGTGATTGACATGCTTTGTTTCGTGAGGATTATGAGGGCATAGCCCATGCAAGTCTTTGTTTTCCCACATATGATACAGTTGTAACGATCCTGGTAATTTCCGAAGTGCAAATTCACAAGGAAAGACGATGCCCCACAATTGCGAAAGAAATGAAAGCACTTGCAAAGAGATAGAGACCAAAGAAGAAGAGAAGAAAGAAGAAGAAGAAGAAGAAGAAGAAGAACCCGCTCAAGCAGTATGTTGCCCAACCTTGCACATCACAAATGAGGAACTACTCGCTCCTCCTGGAGATATAGCGACCTACTTGCCTCTTGGGCGGTGACTTCCAGGCCGCGCGACCTCCAAGCAACCGGTACCTCCTCCCTTTTGGAGGGAAACGTCATTGCAGGCTCTGAGATCGTCCGTACAGGCCCTAGACTCAGGCTACTTGGACTGGTACCCGCCTACCGCCACTGGGCCTCTTGCAAGGCATAGAGCTCATGCATATATGTGGAGGTAGCTACCTTGTGGCTGGGCATGCGTTTGCTGTAATACTCGAGCGGACGCAGGCCATCACCATCATCTTGTTGCAGCACTGCGCCAATCCCATACTGGCTCGCATCCGTAGTGACCACGAATGTGAGGTTGAGATTCGTAATGCGGAGCACAGGATGACTTACCAAAGCCTCTTTCAAGGCTTGAAACACAGTCTCGCATTTCTCATACCACGCATAAGTGACATTTTTGCTTGGTAGTCTCGAGAGTGGGTGAGCAATGACAGAAAATTTGGTACGAACTTTCGGTAATATGAAGCCAAACCAAGAAAGGAACGCAGTTTGCATACATTCGTCAGTTGAGGCCACTTTTGTATGACATCGACCGTGGTTGCCTCAGGCTCAAGGCCGTTCGCAGACAACCGGTGCCCAAGATAGATGACACTATCCCTTCCAAACTCAGGTTTCTCTAAGTTGAGGTGCAGCTTCGCCTGCTTGAGAACCTGCAAGACTTCCTCAAGGTGCTTGACTTGCTCTTTCTGTGGACTTGCTGAAAATCAGGATGTCATTGAGGTAAACGATAACAAACTTGTTAAGCTGATGGCGGAGAACCTTGTCCATAAGGCACTGAAATGTGGCTGGTGCTTTCGTGAGAGCGAAGGGCATAACAATAAATTCGTACAACCCATTGTGTGTCTTGAACGCAGTTTTGTGCTGGTCGATCGGATCAACTTCAATCTGGTGGTCGCGAGACTTGAGGTCGATCTTGGGGAAGACCTTGCACCTACGTGCAACATCCAGCAAATCGTCTATGCGTGGCAAGGGATAAGCGTTCTTTCTAAGGACACAAAACTCCTTTCTTCGGCACAAATGGGACAGGGGCGCCAAACTCTGTCTTCTCAGCTCCTCCAACTCGCCTTGCCCCATACGGTAGACTAAACTCTTTGGAGGAACAGTCCCTTCCACTATCTCGATCTTGTGTTTGACCGAACGCTCGGGAACTGCACAAGGTTCAGCCAGAACTTCCGAAAATCGACGACGAATGTTTATTGGGACTTCCAGTGGAGGATCATCCTCATCCGGAGAGAGAAAATCAGTTTGAGAATTTCCAGCAATAACAACCGGATTTGAAGTAGTTGGATTAGAAGTAGACTTACCTTTTAGAGTAGAAGTAGATGAAACAAAAGTAGATGTAATAGAAGTAGAGCTATTTTCCGAGGTAGAAAATGCAGCAAAA